AGCTGAGGGGAGGAATTATGTTCGAAACCATCACTAAGTGTGATCAATACGTTTTGGCCCTCGACCCCTCTCGTTCCTTCGACTAGTCTTGAAACTAGCTCAGGTTGTTGCTCCGTCTTGGGACTNGGGGGAGTAGGAGAAGGAAGCTGAGGGGAGGAATTATGTTCGAAACCATCACTAAGTGTGATCGATACGTTTTGGCCCTCGACCCCTCTCGTTCCTTCGACTAGTCTTGAAACTAGCTCAGGTTGTTGCTCCGTCTTGGGAATGTCCCTAACTTCAAGTTCCCTGAGCAAACTATACATGGCAAAAAAGGGGGAGCCGACTTCAACTCCGGCGATGTGCATGGCCCCGTCCCAACCCTCCTTAAAAGCTACCTCCTTTGCCTCTTTGAAGGCTGGGACCATTTGATCTTGACATTAAAGGTACAAGTCCTGGCACGCCTTCCGGGTCCTTTCGGACTCCTTAGCCTTCTCTACCTCCAAAGCCTCCACTTTGGCTGTCAAGTCATTGACGAGGGACTCGACATCAAGCAGCTTGACGTCGGCAGCAGAAACCTGGAGTTCGAGTTCCTCCATTCTCTTTGTGACCTCGACCTCGGGTGCCTTTGTCTTATCCAGCTCGACAGTGAGGGCCTCGGCCTTGCGTATCAAGTCGGTAATATGCTTTGTTTGGTTGTCGACCGTCCTCTCCATGCCTCGAATATGCTCATCTTTCCGGGCTAGTTCAGCCTGGGTGTCCCTCATCTTTTGCTTGTATTCCTAGAAGCGGTCAATGATGACCCCCATCTACTGGCAGGCCTGAGAGGAAAGAAAGAAGTCAAGAATAGCCAAGTAATCAAAATAAAAATAAGTTAGAGCAATCGGCGCACTCACCATTAGATTGTGCTGGACAACTCCTTACAGGAGCCTATTGTCCCCAAAGTCCCAGTAGACGGCCATGTCGGCCTCGAAGTGGAAACTTCACTGACGGCCAAGGTCGTATCAGGGGAATGGATGATGTAGTCAGACTCCCAAATTGGTTCCCCTCTCCTAGTCACGGCTCAGGGAGCCCACTCGTCGAGGACATTGGGAGCTGGGGTGTCATGTTGCCATTTTATTCGGCACTCATTCGAAGATTCAAGCTCTCGACTGCACCTCTCTCTCCTCGGCTCATCGACCAGGGCCGAGAGCGGACCTTGGTGTCGCCGCCGAATCTAATCCTCCGAAGGGATCATTGGATCCTGTTGTTGTTGTCGTTGTTGCTCCGGTGGTAGGGGATTGTCGGCGTGATGGTGGAGGCGAGGGTACCACGATCGATGCGGTCCCGGATGGCTCGCCCGATCCTGAGAGTCGTTCCCTCCTTGCCTTGGAAGCGATTTTAAGACTTTCCTTAGTGATGGCAGGACAGTTAAACATTTCTTCAGGGATAAAGTGCGCTCGGTGTCTCTGTCGGGGTCGACTTCAAGATTCCCTTCTTCCTCTTCATCAGAAGAGTGATCCTCCTAGATTGAAACGTCAAACGGCGAAAGAACTCGTGAAAATCTGGTGTAAGTTGGGTGGTAGTCGAGTAGTTCGTGTGCTGCTCGGGCGAAAGGGTTAGCTGGATTGTAAGACCAAACCTTGATCAAGTCCTCAAACGCTACTTGAGACTTCAAATGTTGAGCAGCGTTGGTCTTGTATCCATCTGCAAGGAAAAACCAGTAATCAGGTTAGAAACGGTAACGAGAGCCGAGCAACTTCAAAACATGTGCAATACACACCTGGATCCCTCAGCACTTTGGATTAGTATAATCCGTCATACTTGATCTTATCTCTTTTCTCTCAACTACCGCCAAACATGATCAGATCTTGGGCATACCCCTTATCCAAGTCTAGCATGTGAGTCACTAGATACATAAAAGTGTCCCGAGTCTGGAGGTAATACCTGCCCCCGACGACTAATTTTAAGTCGTAGCAAAACAGGATTTCATCTACCCCCAAGTTTACCCCCAGTCGAGCATTCAGGGCAACTACGCCTATGACTACTCTATAAAAACTTATGCCGCACTAGAGACGAAAGAGCCTCAAATGCATTAACATCCTTAACAAGAGGGGATGGAGGGGGAATATAACTTTCCCTTCCATAATGGCCTTGGTATAGAAGAGCATGAACTCTACAAACCTTATATCTCTCTTACGGAAGGCGGGATCAAAGGGAAAGGTGAAGACAAGCTCGAGAATGTGGTATTTATCCCTGAAGGCTTGGATGTCAATGTCTTGTACTTCGGTTTTTCTCAACCTACGATTGTCCCTAGCCCTGACAGGTTCCTTACCACTGTTATATGTATTCTAGCCATGAATGGAGCCTAGAAGAAATGTAGTAGAAGAAGAATGGGAAAATGAGAAAGAAAGTCGAGAGAGGAAAGTAATTATAGGTTAAAGAACTTCGAGACGGGTGCTCGGCGAAATAAGGATGGGTGCTCGAGAGATTANGTTTTTCTCAACCTACGGTTGTCCCTAGCCCTGACAGGTTCCTTACCACTGTTATATGTATTCTAGCCATGAATGGAGCCTAGAAGAAATGTAGTAGAAGAAGAATGGAAAAATGAGAAAGAAAGTCGAGAGAGGAAAGTACTTATAGGTTAAAGAACTTCGAGACGGGTGCTCGGCGAAATAAGGATGGGTGCTCGAGAGATCAAAGAAGAATGCTCGAGAGTTGATTGCTGATATAAAGATTGAAGATGCAAAGTTTGAAAATGGCTAAACGATCTCCTATTTATAAATTGCAACAGGGGCGAGAATCGAGGAGATAAATGGTCATTTGAAAATTTAAAAAGGGCGGCGCCAGACGTGCAAGTAACTGCCCCTATAAACCAAACGTGTTTAGCAAGCCTCCACTCCCCTCGCACCACCTGTCCCACGTTGTAAGGAAAATGGAGGCTGGGGGGTAGTTAATGGAACTTTAGACGACTCAGCAGCCCTAGATTGACACGTGGAAAGATGTAGCCATTATAGAACTCAAAAGGAGCCGAGAGGTGGCGCTGAGGAATAATAGCTTAGAGGAGCCAAGTACCCATACTGACACCAGCATTTAAGACCACTTGACAGCTCATTAATGGAGACGTGAGTGAATATAATAGGGTCATTAATGAACCCCTACATTCTCGAGACCCAAACTGACAGTTATGATTACAAAGCATTTATGACTATTGCGCCGAACATATCTCCTCTATGTACCCCGAGGTACTGTTCCCTGAACAGTGAACACTTGAGAATAGGTGTCAAGCGACGATCAGATGGACTTAAATACCAGGAATAAGGTCATAAGTGATCGGCATATCCCAAGTANCGAGGTACTGTTCCCTGAACAGTGAACACTTGAGAATAGGTGTCAAGCGACGATCAAATGGACTTAAATACCAGGAATAGGGTCATAAGTGATCGGCATATCCCAAGTAGTCATCTTATCGTTCGAGTAGTCTAGTTACTAGAATCTAAGTGGAGAACACATATTAAGCATGGATAAGAGTGCAAGTCATTAAATGTCGAGATGAGACTTCATGCCCTTGCACTCATTATTGATCCAGGTTTAAATATTTCTCAGAAAAATGAACAAAAGTACGCNTAGTCTAGTTACTAGAATCTAAGTGGAGAACACATATTAAGCATGGATAAGAGTGCAAGTCATTAAATGTCGAGATGAGACTTCATGCCCTTGCACTAATTATTGATCCAGGTTTAAATATTTCTCAGAAAAATGAACAAAAGTACACAAACTAAACTAAGAGAATAAAAACATTGTACTTAACCCTTCAAACTTCTACTGACTTAAGTTTCAGAGGAGATAAATCCAGTGTTCACCCGGCCCCCTTTTCTGACCTTTTGGTTGTTTCAGGTTCACCGTCAAAAGGATCGCTATCCGTATTCATTGCAAGAATTCTCCCGTGCACTTTTTTTTATATCGATTCTCTCCACTTTCTTAAATATAATCATACCAGGAATAACTCGTGCTTGAAGGTATGATACAATGTGAATGATTTTAAAAGAAATATTGATGACCGTTTGATAAGTCTATTTAAAACTGTCAAGNTTAAATATAATCATACCAGGAATAACTCGTGCTTGAAGGTATGATACAATGTGAATAATTTTAAAAGAAATATTGATGACCGTTTGATAAGTCTATTTAAAACTGTCAAGTGAACTTATTAAAGTCTGTTATGTTTTATATTATATAATAGACATTTAATCAGGCCGATCGAAACTATAAGCATTTTACAAAATCTAATATGAAATCATTCATTTAAATGATCACACCATCTCTCTTAATTTATTATCAATCTAATCATTCTTCATAATTAATGCATATACAAATATATTTATATAAACAAATCATACCTACATCTCTCTTTCTCACACATTCATTTATCTATTNAAATCATTCATTTAAATGATCACACCATCTCTCTTAATTTATTATCAATCTAATCACTCTTCATAATTAATGCATATACAAATATATTTATATAAACAAATCATACCTACATCTCTCTTTCTCACACACATTCATTTATCTAATTTTAAGCTTATAACGCATTGAAAAATATCATAGCCATAAAATAGCTTAAACCCTCTCTTCATTGAAAACATAACATACCCATAAAAATAACATATATATTTATAATAAGTTTATAAAGATCTTCGTTTAAAATTTTCGCTTAGGTCCCAAATTTTATTGAAATGGCTCTGTATATAATAATATATATAAATATCTATAAGTGAATTAATCATGTATCATGTGTCACCTTAAATTTTGCTATTTTTAATAATTAATCATCAAAATAATTCACCTCTATAATTTAATTCAAAGCAAAATGCAATGCTTCTTTTATTTTTGATTTTAAGAAAACAAAAAAAAAAGGCAATTGTTACTCATATTTACACAAGTACTTATAGTTTTAAAAACATTACCAAATAATGATGTTAGTTTCCATCAAAATTTTAAGAGGGTGTTGGTATATTTTTGTCCTCTATTCTTTCATGTGTACATATATTTACTTCCTTATCAGGTATGTCACACATCCGGGGTTCCCCATGGACATAGCCTCAACTCTGCCATTTCAGTCCATACTGCGGGTCTTCACCGGGACAATGCCCCATGGTGACTTCTTTGGCTTTCTCAACCTGCTCCGCCTGTGGCGACTCAGGCGTGTTAGCGAACTCTTCTCAAGGTAATTTTCTCCCAGAGATGGACATTGGTGTAACACATACCTGTATCCCTCAACTCCAGACTAGCCACACACACACACTCACTAGTCTGACATTGAATTCCATCAGTTCTACATTCAAACTGGTAGAGATGATGCTAATGTGTATATAAAAAGTGCACCTCGTGTACAAGAGTTCCATCTATAGCAGAATCTGAGAGAGAGAAATGGTAGAAAACCGTACCATTTTGGAGAGGTTGGTTGCAGTCCTAAATACTCCAACCAGAGACATCCGAGACGTATCACTTGGGTGGATGAATATATGTCCTAGGCCTAGCTCCAGGTCCAGTTTCTAGAGATGCTAATGACATATCAAAACTAAAAATGACTACTTTGTATATCAAAAAAAATGGTAACTGGGCAGTCTGAATCAACTAATAAAGTTCGTAGCACAGATAATACTCCAAGTTGTTCAGTTTACTCTTCCAAACCAATCTCGACCTAGTTAACCTCAAGATCATCCGGAACACGAGTAGACAACTATATATACCAGTAAATTTTCATGCATGCTCTCATGTTGTGAAGGGAAGATCACAATTTCTCAACATTTAACACACAAGCATGCACAAACAAGCACCTCACAAACATGCTATTTCAGACATGATGACTTAAAGATCTACAGAGCTTATTGCCATCTGAATAACACTAAACTTTCTCCAGACTAGAGAAGGACACACGTGTTAGCTACTTTTGGACAAGATACTTCAAACTAATATGCGTAAGTACTACTTCCCTCGAACTAGCTTTCTGATCAACACTTGACCAAATGGGCTAAAAATTCATCTTCCTAGTTTCTGCTTCGAACTATCACAGGTGACACTATTTGGAGTGCACTCAGCAGGTTGCTTCTACTACTGGCTAGCCACCCATCACAAGAACACAACGGACACATGGATTGGAAGTCAGGTTAGTGACTTTGAACAAAGAAGCATATGGCTGGGATACACCTATTCCATGTACTGGTCAATTGTCACCCTCACCACGGTTGGCTATGGAGACTTGCACGCAGAGAATACGGGAGAGAAGATTTTCAACATCTTCTACATGCTATTCAACATTGGTCTCACCGCCTATTTAATTGGAAACATGACCAATCTCATTGTCCACAGTGCTGTTAGAACCTTTGCCATGGTAATTATTCTCCTGCTCTGTTCTAGTTCAACTTGTAAACACACTGAATATCTATCGGCAACTGGGAAATTTGACTAGAATGTCTAAACTACAATTTGGTTGATTGCTAACAAGCCGATAGCTAATCAAGTTAATAGTCAAACCAACTGAAATGCATCCACTGCCAGCTTATAACTATATCTATATCTATCTACGTTATAAATTTGTGTGTGTATTTAAACTAATGCCAGCTCTGAAAAATGGGCTTCTGTTAAACTTGTGTGATTTCGTTAGAGGAACTAGAAAACTGATGGCCAACCACCCCAGTTTTAAAAATTAAGCTATAAAGATGCCTGATCCTAAGCTGTTAAGATGTTGTAATTCTCCACAAATTCTTAAAAGGTCACACCCAATGCACGAGACTTCTGCCAATGCTGAGGTCTGGAAGAGGTTACTCACATTTTTGCAGAGATTAATTTTGAAACTCAAACCCATGATGTATTGCTGGAGCACATGAGCAACCAGAAATTCCTACTTGCCCAAATTTATCTCTGACTAGGGTGATGTCGAGAGGATGTGAGGAACTTTGAACTAGACTTAGTACTGCTGAAGATCATGTAGTAATCATTTTCGCTCGACTTTTTCAATCAAAATCTTAAGTTCTAATGCTTATCACTATCCCTTGTCAGTTGAGATAGGAAAAAACATTAGAAATTTGGATTGTGTACTGTTTCTCTGAATCCCAATTCTCAGAGTGTAACACCTATCATTCCTATGTTTTCATCTACTGGATACAATGCCTGTATCAGCAATCCTCCAGAAAGAATATGCCTCCCTAGTCTATATTTTGATTCTAGCAAAGTGTCATTACATTATTGTCCAATGGTGGATTTGCAGAGGGATGCCATCAATGAGATCTTGCGATATGCAAGCAAGAATAGACTTCCAGAAGGATTGAAGGAGCAAATGCTGGCGCATATGCAGCTCAAGTTCAAGACAGCAGAATTGCAACAAGAAGAAGTGCTTAAAGACCTTCCGAAGGCAATAAGATCTAGCATTGCTCAGCAACTGTTCCGCAGAACTGTCAACTATACCTATCTTTTCAAAGGAGTCTCCGAAGACTTTATTGTCCAGTTGGTAAAATATTAGTCTTTGTTCTCAATCAAAATATGATTAAATTGCCGTTTTTGGTTTTTAGCCTAGATCTATACAGATAGATCCTTCAAAATGTAAACTATTAATGTTAGACAGATTATGATTACCTAATGCTTAGAAATATTTAGAACTCAGCAAATATAGACATATCCGCAAAGTCAGAAAAGGATTAAGTTCCTATTATACTAAAAGTTCATTCAAATATTCCCCTTCCTANCTTAGAAATATTTAGAACTCAGCAAATATAGACATATCCGCAAAGGCAGAAAAGGATCAAGTTCCTATTATACTAAAAGTTCATTCGAATATTCCCCTTCCTAACCCTCTCAGAAAAAAAATAAGACGGTTGACCAGGGAACTTCCTTTGCCTGAAGACTACCTAACATTCCAAAAAACAAACTGTGAAGGACTAGGGTGTAGTATCCATGACAGCATTGCATATGCCACACAACTTGAGAGAGAAACATGCTCCTAGAACACTAAGAAGTTCATTGGGTACTTCTTAATTAATCTTTACATGGATACTGTGGGATGCCCATGCCAAAGAAGCAAACGTTTTATGGAGTTTTTATTGCAATTCAGGGTAGAGGAAATTGGACACTTCCGGCTTCTTCTTAATTAATCTTTACATGGACATTGTGGGATGCCTATGCCAAAGATGCAAACATTTTATGGAGTTTTTATTGCAATTCAGGGTAGAGGAAATTGGACACTTCCGGCTTCTTCTTAATTAATCTTTACATGGACATTGTGGGATGCCCATGCCAAAGATGCAAACGTTTTATGGAGTTTTTATTGCAATTCAGGGTAGAGGAAATTGGACACTTCCGGATCTCAACAAAGATCCATGTCTTAGGGTTTAGAAAGATGGATCCAAGACAACAAAAATCGCCATCAACATGCATAACCAAGCCCAGGCAACAACGCCAGTTTCAATATGGAAACTGTAAAATTAGAGTACTAAGTCAAAACATATGGTTCTCTAAGATTGTTATCTCAGTTTTGTTTTGTGGCTTTTCCCTCTCAGGTCTCAGAGATGAAAGCGGAATATTTTCCACCCAAGGTTGAAATAATCTTACAAAACGAGATATCTACGGACTTCTACATCCTAGTATCTGGAGCTGTGGTACAGTGTCACTCTTTCTCATGTTTTCATCCTTCTCACTTTCTGATGCAACATCTGACAGTATATTACTGCAGGATGTGCTGACATACAAGAATGGAATGGAGCAGGTATGATTCACTTCTCTTAATTACATTCCTAGATGCATATTAACAGGAAAAGGGAAACTTTTTTAATACATTTTAGCCGACTAATAAACGTAGGGTTCTTGATCTTAGAAGACTAATTATTTTATTCAAACGCCAAAAGTTAAAGGACACCAACACAAGAATAAAGAACAAAGGCAGCTGTCAACTTTAATGACACAATAGTACATCTCATATCGCAGACCACTTGTAAAACGGATGAGTCATCCATAAGCAACTATCACTGAAGAAAATGATATCAGGTAAATGCAAATGAGAGCCACAACAAAGTAATTCCTAGCAGTATCTTAATTGCACACTAATGACTATCAGTCTCCTTTCTTTTTCAATAAGTTGTTAGTAATGGCTACCATGAATCATATCATAAAATCAGAAAGCTTGCACGTCAAACAAATGTACCATCAAGGTTATGAATGAGCTAACTGTCAATACAAATCTAATATGTAGCTGTCTAATAAAAAATTCTTTCAACTAATGAATTGATTAAAAATGATATCCAGCTAAAAAAAATTCCAGGTTTACAGAACTGATATCTATTAGACTGAATCCTACAGAGCTATATTAAAAAGGCTCTTTACAGTTTACTATATCAATCAGATGATGCAGAATGGAGGTGAAATCAATCAACAGGGTCATACCAGTTTGGCAAAGAAAACTCACTGCTCTCCTTTATCAAGGTGCAACAGCATCCTGCATAGAAATTCAAGTAACCGGTTTAACAGACTGCTCTCATGTTCCAATAGATGGTGCAATCAGAAAATGACCTACATAATTACTGAACATCCTTTTCAAGTGAAAAATCAAGGATGGGCTTGAGCAACAATGTATGCAACTACAAACTTAGAAAAAGAAGCAAAAAAGTTACAGGAAAACATATATTAAAAAAAGGAGTAAAATTCATATTATATAGACTCAGAAGGTTAATATCCATATAGCTAGAACTTTAGAACTGAGTATTCATTTTAGGTTTTCTAGTGGCAAGCATATCAACTTCTAATACTTCCATATTATAATAGAAAATTAAATGAGAGAAACGAAAGATTGAAAGAACACTGAAATCCAAATTTTAACTGCAAATCATGAAAAAACAAAAAAAAATCTCAAAAATGCTTACTACTTTCAATTGTGATTTTCCAGTTCTTGTCAAAACTAGGACCCACAGATATGTTTGGAGAAATAGGGGTGATTTTCAATATTCCACAACCGTTTACGGTGAGAAGTAAGAGGCTTTCTCAGGTCATCAGGATCAGCCATCATCAGTTCAAGCAAATGGTGCAGCAACTTAATGAAGATGGAAAGACAGTGATCTCCAACTTCGTTCAGGTTTTATACCTCATTATCTGCCCGCTACATCCAATCAAATATTTTCTTATGCAATTAATAAACATGCAGAAACATCACTCAATAGCGATGAGCTTAGGTTAATCAAATGGGCGATTGTGATCTTCACATGACAAAATTGTGGTTTCATTGGCCAATTAGTGATGGTCCTACCCCTTTGAACTAATCTAAGCTCATGCATATGTTTTCTGTCAAACCAATTATTTTTCTTACTTCCACATCTTTTCAACTTGAAAAACTCACCATTGCTTGCAGAAGTATTTCTAATACTGAGACTTCCATGTGCAGTACTTAAAGGGCTTAAAAAAGGAGGAGCTAGAAGAGATACCGTTTGTAGCAGAACTATTGGGTGACTTCAATGTAGAGGTAATTCTTCATCTTGAACCGATTAGGCTTTTATAAAACCTTACACGATGAATTAGAATCTGGCTCTTTTGTGCAGAACTAAAAAGGTATCATCTCACTCAGGTATCACAATTTCCTTGCAATTTAGAACAAAGAAAATAACAAGGATGAATAAGTATATGCATTAGATTTTTTCAGTTCCCTGGAAATGCATCCAACATACTCATGCCTTATGACTCGAGACTAATCAAATCCAGCAGCAAATACTATGGGAAGAGTTACACCTAACTGGAGAACTGTATTACTTTGATTTTTTAAACATCTCATATAACTAGTTAAATTTATCTGGTTGGCATTGAATGAAACCAATCGTGGTGATTAAGCAGGCTAACATGGTTGTCATATGCTCTTGCAGCGTCAAGCATCAATCGATGGACAACAAAATCATGAAGCATCAAATTATAGTGAAGAGGCAAATATAGAAGGTTGGTAAGCTCAGGAATTTTTTAAATGATCCCCATAATGGTGTGTATTAAGTTTAGAGGATTAACACAATATTAGAGAGAAACAGAGAGAGGTTAAAAACATAACCTAGCTCTCATACATCACTTGTATTTATAGTTAACTCACAATAATAAGAATTACACATAATACCCTAACACTATTAACAATTTACACATACTACCCTAATACTCTTAACTCTCCCCCTCAAGCTGGACTATATATATCATATAATCCCAGCTTGAAACAAATAGCTGTAAGAGGTGTACGACTTAATGCTTTGGTAAACATATCTGCAAGCTGATCTTCAAATTTCACAAATGGAGTCGTAATCTCCCCAGCTACTATCTTGTCCNCTCCCCCTCAAGCTGGACTATATATATCATATAATCCCAGCTTGAAACAAATAGCTGTAAGACGTGTACGACTTAATGCTTTGGTAAACATATCTGCAAGCTGATCTTCAAATTTCACAAATGGAGTCATAATCTCCCCTGCTACTATCTTGTTCCAAATGAAGTGACAATCAACTTCAATATGCTTGGTTCTCTCGTGAAACACAGGATTGACAGCGATATGGATAGCTATCTGGTTGTCACAGAACAACTGTAAAGGAAGTTGAACTGAAAACCCAATTTCCTGGAAGAAGTGTAATAGCTAAGTCAACTCACTCGTCTATGTGGCATTGCCCTATACTCAGTTTCAGCACTGTATGTTACNAGTTGAACTGAAAACCCAATTTCCTGGAAGAAGTGTAATAGCTAAGTCAACTCACTCGTCTATGTGGCATTGCCCTATACTCAGTTTCAGCACTGCATCTTACTACCACGGGTTGTTTCTTACTTTTCCATGAGACAACATTACCTCCTAAGAAAGTACAATAACTAGTGGTTGATCTTCGATCAGAAAGAAAGTCAGCCCAATCAGCATCTGAGAAACCTTCCACTCTAAGATGTCCATTAGCTCGATATAACAGTCCAAGTCCATGAACTCGTTTGAGATATCGCAGAATACGAGTAACTACCTCCCAATGTGGTACTCTAGGACACCCTATGAACTGACTTACTATACTGACTACATAGGAAATATCCGGTCGAGTAATAGTAAGATAATTAAGTTNTCTTACTACCACGGGTTATTTCTTACTTTTCCATGAGACAATATTACCTCCTAAGAAAGTACAATAACCAATGGTTGATCTTCGATCAGAAAGAGAGTTAGCCCAATCAGCATCTGAGAAACCTTCCACTCTAAGATGTCCATTAGCTCGATATAACAGTCCAAGTCCAGGAACTCGTTTGAGATATCGCAGAATACGAGTAACTACCTCCCAATGTGATACTCTAGGACACCCTATGAACTGACTTACTATACTGACTACATAGGAAATATCCGGTCGAGTAATAATAAGATAATTAAGCTTTTCAACCAACCTGCGATACCGACCCAGATTCTCAAATAATACACCATCATCCATCAATAATTTCTGATTCGGATCCATAGGAACATCAATCGGCCTACCACCCAGCAAACCTGCTTCCTCAAGCATATCAAGTACATATTTCCTCTAGGATAAACAAATACCCTGTTTAGATCGAGTCACCTCAATACTCAAGAAATACCTAAGTTTTTTCAAATCCTTAGTATGAAATCGATTCTGTAAGAATATTTTTAACTTGACAATCCCCTCAGAATCATTCTCAATAATCACAATATCATCTACATAGACCACCAATAGGACATATCCCGCATCTGTCTGTCTATAAAACATAGAATAATCTGTCTGACATCGAAGAAGACCAAACTCTAAAACTGCATCTGAAAACTTACCAAACCATGTCCTAGGTGACTGTTTCAAACCATACAAAGATTTCTTTAACCGACATACACTCTTACCATACTCCCCCTGAGCAGTAAACCCAGGTGGCTGCTCCATGTATACCTCTTCAACCAAGTCACCATGTAGAAAGACATTCTTGATGTCTGACTGAAACAAGGGTCAATCAAGATTAGCAGCCAAAGAGATCAAGATACGAACAGAGAAAATTTTGACAACAGGAGAAAAAGTCTCCTCATAATCAACACCATAAGTCTGAGTAAAGCCCTTTGCAACAAGTCTTGCTTTGAGACGCTCCACAGAGCTATCTAGATGAAATTTAACAGTATACACCCAACGACAGCTAATAGTTCATTTACCAGGGGGTAAAAGAACGAGATCCTAAGTCTCATTATGATGTAAAGCATCCATCTCCTGCTCCATAGCTTTCATCCAACCCGGATCAGATAAGGCATCCTGTAAATGCTTAGGAATAGATATAGCAGATAATTGAGAAGTAAAACAGGAGAAGACAGGAGACAAGGCATCATATAAAACAAAATGAGAAATGGGATAATTAGTAACACACGAACGAGTACCTTTGCGACGAGCAATAGATAAAGAGTCTAAATTACCTGATGTACCAGGATCAGAAGGTGGCAAAGAAGACGGTACGGGCACCTCAGTCGATAGGCGAGGACGGCGAGAGTAGATACGAAGAGGTAAAGTAGATGGTAACACAGTGGAATGTCTGAAGATGAGGAAAGAGATGGTAGTACAGAAGATGATCCAAAGTCCAGATCCAAAGGCTGAGAAGGTGCTGGAAAGTATGGAACAGATTCTTCAAACGTGACATTGGCACTAGTAAAGTATCGGTGCAGAGAAGGACTGTAATAATGATATCCTTTCTGCGTGCGGGAGTAACCAAAAAATACACATTTGGTAGCTCGAGGGTCAAGTTTGTCAAACCCAGGACCCAAATTGTGAACATATCAGACACATCCAAAAATCTTAAGAGTCAGGGAAAATAAGGGCTTACCAGGAAAAAGGACAGAATATGGACTTTGCTCATTTAACACAGAGAATAGCATACGATTAATAAGATGACAAGCAATAAAAACAGCATCACTCCAAAAATATCGGAGAATATTCATCTGGAATAACAGGGCACGGGTGACTTCCAACAAATGACAGTTCTTGCGTTCAGCAACACCATTTTGTGGAGAGGTGTAAGCACAAGAAATCTAATGAATAATACCAGTTTTACTAAGATAAGCTGAAAAATGATCAGATTCATATTCCCGAACATTATCAGAACATAAAATACGGATACGACACCCATACTGAGTGTTTATTTCCTTACGAAATGTCTCAAATATAGAGAATATTTTATCAGAAACAATCAAGTTACACGAGAATAGTCATCTACAAATGAGATAAAATAAGGATATTNCATTATCAGAACATAAAATACGGATACGACACCCATACTGAGTGTTTATTTCCTTACGAAATGTCTCAAATATAGAGAATATTTTATCAGAAACAATCAAGTTACACGAGAATAGTCATCTACAAATGAGATAAAATAAGGATATTTTATTAGATAAAATATTCTTTATTGGACCCCATACATCAGAATGTACCAACTCAAATGGACTAGACACACGATTATTGACTCGAGACTGAAATGACACACGGTGATGCTTACTCAGTTGACAAACTTCATAAGACAAAGACGGCACAGAACTAAGACTGGGAACCTGACGCTTCAGATTCTGGAGAGAGGGATGTCCAAGACGACAATGCCACTGAAAAGGAGACAACAAGGTCTATAAAACCCGAATAGGTGAATCAAAATCAAAGTAATATAGGCCACCAGCTTCATGCCNAGTAAAACAGGAGAAGACAGGAGACAAGGCATCATATAAAACAAAATGAGAAATGCGATAATTAGTAACACACGAACGAGTACCTTTGAACGAGCAATAGATAAAGAGTCTAAATTACCTGATGTACCAGGATCAGAAGGTGGCAAAGAAGACGGTACGGGCACCTCAGTCGATAGGCGAGGACGGCGAGAGTAGATACGAAGAGGTAAAGTAGATGGTAACACAGTGGACAGTGGAATGTCTGAAGATGAGAAAAGAGATGGTAGTACAGAAGATGATCCAAAGTCCAGATCCAAAGGCTGAGAAGGTGCTGGAAAGTATGGAACAGATTCTTCAAACGTGACATTGGCACTAGTAAAGTATCGGTGCAGAGAAGGACTGTAATAATGATATCCTTTCTGCGTGCGGGAGTAACCAAAAAATACACATTTGGTAGCTCGAGGGTCAAGTTTGTCAAACCCAAGACCCAAATTGTGAACATATCAGACACATCCAAAAATCTTAAGAGTCAGAGAAAATAAGGGCTTACCAGGAAAAAGGACAGAATATGGACTTTACTCATTTAACACAGAGAATAGCATACGATTAATAAGATGACAAGCAATAAAAACAGCATCACTCCAAAAATATCGGAGAATATTCATCTAGAATAACAGGGCACGGGTGACTTCCAACAAATGACAGTTCTTGCGTTCAGCAACACCATTTTGTGGAGAGGTGTAAGCACAAGAAATCTAATGAATAATACCAGTTTTACTAAGATAAGCTGAAAAATGATCAGATTCATATTCCCGAACATTATCAGAACATAAAATACGGATACGACACCCATACTGAGTGTTTATTTCCTTATGAAATGTCTCAAATATAGAGAATATTTTATCAGAAACAATCAAGTTACACGAGAATAGTCATCCACAAATGAGATAAAATAAGAGTATTTTATTAGATAAAATATTCTTTATTGGACCCCATACATCCGAATGTACCAACTCAAATGGACTAGACACACGATTATTAACTCGAGACTGAAATGACACACGGTGATGCTTACTCAGTTGACAAACTTCACAAGACAAAGACGGCACAGAACTAAGACTGGGAACCTGACGCTTCAGATTCTGGAGAGAGGGATGTCCAAGAAGACAATGCCACTGAAAAGGAGACAACAAGGTCTGTAAAACCCGAATAGGTGAATCAAAATCAAAGTAATATAGGCCACCAGCTTCATGCCCCGTACCAATCTTCCTCTTCGTCTTCAGATCCTGAAAGATACAATAAGAAGGATAAAAGGTTACAGAACAGTGAAGAGAACGGGTAATCTTGCTAATGGAAAGTAAACTAAAAGGAAACTGAGGAACAAATAATACGGAAGATAGGGACATATCAGGACTCAAGTTAGTAGTCCCCAAACCTGAAACTTTAGAACAAGTGTCATTAGAAAAAGTAACACTACATGTGGAGGTAGCAGACTGATAAGTAGAAAAAACATCAGACGCACCAGTCATGTGATCAGAAGCGCCAGAGTCTATGACCCAGGGATTGCAATTAGAGGACAATAAACAAGTAGAAGCAATACCTGACTGGGCAAAAGTAGCCGTAGAGGGGAGAGTGAACAGCCTGTTGCTGGGATAGGAACTGGTCATACTCCTCTCGAGTAATAGTAACCAATCCAGTGTCTTGCTTGGGTTCCATAACAGTGCAACAAATAGCAAAACGAAAAGCACTAGATCACTGAACAGGACAAGAATCACCGACTGCACTGCTGAACCGAACCAAAGGAGTCCACGAGATCATTGAACCAACCTGAACCAGTCTAAAACAGACTGAATCGGGCCTGAACCGGTCTAAAACTTACTGAACCAGCCTAAACCAGTCCAAGAAAACCTGCTAAAAGTCTGAACCGAACAGGAAATAGGTGTTGCACTACTAAACCGGTGCGAACCGGGTCTGAACCCGCTGGACCGCTGAACCCGCTGGACCGCTGAACCTGACCAGACCGGGTTTCGGGCTAGACTGAGTCTGTTCGCTGAACCCACTGGACCACTTTAAAACCTAGTCTTGGGCTGGACCTGATCTAGACCCAACCCTGGTTCCTTTTTCTTCGTTGAATAGGGTTCCCTTGGAACCCTCTGGTCTTCAACGACGCTAGACACCACCACGACCACCACAGCCACACCACCACCACGATTGATCATGCCACCACACCACCACGCCACCACTTCGACTGCACCTTGACCACCACACCGAACGACAAACCACCAAAGCGGACACCACAACGACGCTACACCACAACGGAGAAATCACACTATACCACCACCACAGTGAACACCAAACGAAGGTAGACGATGACCAACAATACCACACCACCAACAACGACGACAAACGATGGTCAACAGTACAACACCACCACCACTAGCGACAATACCACCAACGAATCAACCACCACAACTGTATCACCACCACCACCACTGTAGTTCGACGATTTAGCGGTACATAGCCACAACAACTGTACCACCACCACCGGTATGGTTAATTTATTCAAAAAATATATATTTAGGATTAAACTTGCTCTGATACCATGTTAAGTTTAGAAGATTAACACAATATTAGAGAGAAACAGAGAGAGGTTAAAAACATAACCTAACTCTCATACATCACTTGTATTTATAGTTAACTCACAATAATAAGAATTACACATAATACCCTAACACTATTAACAATTTACACATATTACCCTAATACTCTTAAAGGTGTGATGAGTGGGGGACTGTGCAGATAATGATAAATAAAAAATCTTGCCTGGAAGTTATACGGCTTCTTATAATTTATGTGTGACCAGATGGTACTGATACTGTAAACATAAACAAGACTGGTCCTTGGATGATTGGTAAATTAGCAACAATTTTTCCTGTTTTGACAATCACAACTTTCCAATAAACATTCTTTTATCTTAGTTCTGAAAAATTTGACGTCAAAGCCACAATATTTAATCAAATTTGCAGTAGACTTTCTTTATTAAAAATTAGAAGATCTATAGCTATTCATCACTAACTTCATTTCGAAATTTCATGTTCTTCTTTTGCAGGAACATCCACAACTGCTATGTCATCAAAAACATTTCCCATCAGGTTGACAATCCATGGGCATCATCCAGATGATAAAACAACAGAAGGTGATAGGAGGGGAAAACTTATCCATCTGCCTGACTCACTAGAAGACCTTCTGAGATTAGCAGGTAAGCGATCAACAGCAACATATTATTTTCGACAGCTAGACAAAAAAGAAAATGATTTTATGGCACGTCAATATCAATCAAAAAACACATAAAAGGTTTCTCATGACCAGGTCAAAAAGACACCATTACTTGTAATGCAAATACAAGTTACAGATATAATGAGGACCCTTAGCATTCTGATGAAACTTGAAAATTTTCAACCCTCACCCTTGAACAATCAACTAGGGCACTTCATTTCCACATAATCTTTGAAAATGCCATTACATTTGTTATCCATGAATTAACTGTCCATAAGTTTCAAGGTGAGGGAAAATACTGATTAATATCAACTTTCAACTTTGATGCAGAAAAGAAGTTCGGGAAAAAAGGAAGTACAATTGTCATGGCTGATGGCTCTCATGTGGAAGATCTAAGTGCTTTAAGAGAAAATGATGACTTATATGTCTTTTGAGAACTACTACAATATTGGAGAAAATATCTTTCTGTAACCTCCATTGCTTTGCTCTGTAAGAACATAAATGCACAAGAAAATGGGGGGTTAAAAAATCAATGAAAATTATGTTGTAGTTTCATGAAGAATTACCTCTGAATTATAGACTTATCTTTGAGAACCCCATATGAATTCACGAAAATTTTAATTTGGAAGAAAAATAAAGAGATATCAACTAAGAAATGGTGGAGCTTACATCTTTCAACTGGTCTCCCTGTTGTTCAGCATGTCCAAAACAGTGTAAGCAGCTTTTTGAAATCGCTCCTTTTCTACCTCTAAAGTTTTCTTCCTCTCAAGAGCAGAGTCTTTGCATTTCTCTACATCTTCCATAATTTCGGCAGAGTTTTGATCAATTTCACTGCAGAGGTTCCATCAAAAAGGGATATGTATTTAGACCAAAAGCCAACAATTTAAGTAATGCAAGTCTCAAATAATGCAGTAATATACAGCAGGACCCCTCTTAAAAGTTTACAAAAGGGATTAAAAACAAAATTCTCTGGGTGTGCATGGACAAGCAAGACCGGGAAAATAATGGAATACTTAGATGGGAAAAATAGAAAGCTTACAAAGAGGTAATAAGTATTTAAGCATTCACTCTGTGGACAATAGGAATGTTCTTAAACAATTTTTTTTTTTTTTTTTTTTTGGGGGGGGGGGGGGGGAATGAATGCTTGGGAGAAGCAAATGTCCATCAAATTATTTTGAAGTGGCTAAGAAACACAGTTTTAAGAAGTTAATACAGCTTATTAGCTTACGTTATCATCTTAAGCATATTCTCCATTGTGACTTGCACCTGCTGTGAGAGATCTGCATTCATTATAAGAATAAACGGGTTTATTATCAACAGACATAGATTGAATGAAATTAAGGAGTTTTCTAGACAGCTAAAACATTAAAATCTACTAAGTTACAATTATCTGCATGCAAAGTGAATGAAGCTTAGATGCTGAATCAAAACAAAATTAACAACGTAATCTCAATATTCAAGCATAGTCGTCATATTGATTGTGTGTTTAAAAACCAAAAATATCATGACATTTACCAAAAATTAGATCAAACATACAGATTAATATATTAATTTTGTGTCTACTCAAGTTGAGCCTTAACAAACACTTTCACAGCATAGTCATCATATCTTCAAGCATTTAACTATAATAGAAAGGAAAACCCTCCCTCTATATAAATGTGTTGTAAATGCGATAGTTAAGAAAATCGAGCGAACGTCAGTTGCGTGCTCGATCATAGATACTGAGATTTGCCAATTCTCACTTCAATGATTAAAACAAACGAAAGAAACAATTTCTGATGCAACGTAGATTCGATTAGGAAGTCACGACAAGGTTATAATTAAACATCGAGCAACACAGAAATGGAAGATTATACAGATGCGCGCACACACTCTGCTCACAGACGGGCATCGTGAACAAATGTGACTGTGAGACACTTCAGCGATTGAAAAAATTGAAAAAAAAAAAGTTATGATGCTATATAGATTCGATTAACATGTCTCGACAAGCTCAAAATTAAGCATCGAGCAACACAGAAATGGAAGATAATACAGATGCTCGCACAGAATCTGCGCACAGACAGACATCGTAAACAAACGTGACTGCGAGAGAGAGAGTGTGAGTATGTGTGAGAGAGAGAAAGAGAGAGGCACCATAGACGAGGGAGGAGAGCTTAGATTCAACGTCTGAATGTGGAACGAGCTGACCGTCGGACTGAGGTGGTGAAGAAGCAGCTACAGCTTTCGGAGGCTCCATCTCCAGAGAGAGAGAGAGAGAGAGGGTAACAAAGAGCTGTGGAGCGCTGAATTCCGGAGAATTGAGCGCGCTTGTTCTGGTTCTAATACGGGCCTAGATTTTTTCAAGCTAAATACGTTGTGTGTGACTGCGTGAGCGCGCGCGAGTGTGGGATTTGGAGGTGGCAAACGTGCAACTTGGGTGAGTTATGTGCGGCGGTTGAAATTATAAAATCTAATTTATGTAATATTGTTGGTAAAATAAATCTTATACATTTTGTAACTCGCCTGGACTAAGCTCATTAACCTATAAATAATTAAACAATTATATAAATATATATTGATATGCTAAAAAAAATATACACTAATATAAAAAACAAAACTAATTCTTTACACTAGAAGGACACGTGGCACGATCTAATGATTAAAATTGAGTTTGAAGAAATTATAAGTGATTAAGCGGTTACGAGGAAAGATCTTGAAAAGTGAAAAATCATGTCAGAACGTGACATCATAGAAATGTTAGTTATAGACAATTAGGACAGGATTATAGTTGTGGAGAGAGGTCATAAGTACAGGCTTAATGGTTGAAAAAAATAATTCCAACAGTTATAAAGTCATTGCTTATAAATACATAGATATAGGCCATAGAGAAAGGATCTAATGATCAACACTCCTACAAGCAACATACCAAACTTGCTTTGCACTGTTTAAGTTTCATTTTTTTTCCTTTTACTTTTGAATTTCATTATTGCCCAGTAACTTCCTTTAGTTTATTTCAAGCACACTATTCAATGTAGTTATTCTTACTTGTGATTACGAGTTTTTCTAATTTCATTTCGTTTTATTTTCTCAATTCGTTTATTTACTCTAGAAAAGAATTGTTTTTAAGTTCTCAACTTCCAAGGTAAAAAGAGTATCTAGATGTAGTCTCACATCTCGTTTTAGTCACCTGAAAGTCACAATTAAGAATCTCACGCCTGTTTGAGTAGGTTAAGGTTGTAATATTTGAAATTGTAAGTTCGTTTAGAATTTGGCACACCTGTAATTTGAAATACGTTAAACATATTTTTTGGCACATCCGGTAGAATCATTCGTAGGAGGATGGCACAAACGCATGCGAAAACAAGTTTGATCGTCTGGTGGGGTGTGTGTGTGTGTGTGTGTGTGAGAGAGAGAGAGAGAGAGGCACCATAGACGAGGGAAGAGAGCTTCGATTCAACGTCTGAATGTGGGAAGAGTTGACCGAAGGACTAAGGTGGTGAAGAAGCAACTGTAGCTTTCGGAGGCTCCATCTCCATAGAGAGAAAGGGGGGGTAACAAAGAGAAGTTAAGTTGAGAGTTAAAAAGAATTGAGTTTGTTCTGGTTTTAATACGGGCCTAGATTTTTCAAGCTAAATACGTTGTGTGTGATTGTGTGAACGCTCGCGAGTGGAGAATTTAGAGGTGGCAAATGTGTGAGTTGGCGAGTTATGTGCAAATTCATAACCGTCGAGTATAAAATAAATGTGATTTCACTTGTAACTCACTTAATAACATATTGGATTAAATTCAATAACTTATAAAAAAATAAAATTTTAATATATATTAATATATTAATCAAAGTTTTTATATATGCATATTAATATATTAAAAACACTTGCAAAATACTAATTGTTTATACACTAGAACGACACGTGACACAATCTAATGGTTAGGGTTGAGTTTGAAGAAGCTCTAGGTGATTAAGTGGTTATGAGGAAGGAGACGTTAGTTATAGATGGTTTAGAGCACGATAATAGCCGTCAAGGGTAGTTCAAGGTAATTTAAGGCCTAAAACCAAAACACTAAGTAAGGTCTTTTTTATTTTTAATATTATTTTTAAAAAAAATAATTTATTTTTAATTTATTGTGAGAGAGAGATAGAAGAAATATGCGCTAGTGTTGAGGAAAAAGAGATTTCAACTTTTACTTTTATTTTTTATCGCAAAAAAATAGGGAGTTTAATTTCAACTATTACTTTTGTTTTTTACTTTTTTTTTATCAGAGAGAGAGAGAGAAATGGTGAGGGAAAATATGACTTGAATTTTGAGTTTTTTTCTATTGTTTTTAACTTCTGATTTTTAGGTTTTAAATGTTATGGATTGGACTATAGGCCTAAATTATTTTAACAAAAAATTTGATTGAACTTAATTTTTTGGGACCTTTTTTAGGACTTAAAATTTTTTGTATTTATATTTTTTTGTGGGCTAGTAATATATTTAAAATTATTGGATATTCTAAAAAGGGAAAATTGGGAAGGAGTATACCAAATTAGACTTAATTGTAAAAAATTACACACAAAAAAAAAATGTTGGCTAATTAAATCCTTAATTTTAATACTTATTTGTATCTAAGTCCATTATTTAAATTTTATTAATTTTTTTGTGACATTTTTGTCCTCCATTGATACATGTGTATTTTCTTTGAAGTGGTGCATTAAACATCTCCTAGTTTAATGAGAGAACTTTAATAGATTAAGTGTATGCTAAGTGCCTTTCATATTTATTTTTTTCCTAATATATATTGAATAAGAGTATTTTAGTCTAATGTAATTATTTTTTACTCATATTACAGCTATTTAATAGTTTCCTTAATTTCTGTGTAAAAACCTTAAACGACAGATATTTAAAAACAGAGAGAGTATAAAATTATGTAGTTAACGGTTGGTTGAAACCGTGTTTGACTGTTAACCCTAAGCTAACACCATTTGTAAATAACTCGATGATTTGGACAGACGAAAGATTAAAATTTTAGTATGAAATAAAAAAATATATATATTTTTATTTTTAAAAAGATTAAAAAAATTAGTGGTGAAATCAAAATTTTAATGTTTCATAATATTTCAAAACATTTTGATTTGTTTTAGGTTGTTTTCGTTAATATTTGGAATATTTTGATATGTTTCATTATATTTTTATGAATATTTTGAAATATTTTAAAAATAAAATTCTAAAATTTGTCTATTTTCACTATATTTTTCAAAAAAATTTAGGAAATTTTAAAAATATTTTTATTTTCATTTTTATAAATGATCAAAACAATGGACCAAAATAAAATTTTGGTAACAAGTATAAGTGATCAAAACTTAACAATTATATTTTGCTAATACTCAATTCAACTAAATAAAATCTGAAGTTATTTCTATAAATTATTTTTTATATTTTTTCATAAACTATCATTTTTTACTATTTTATAAAAATTAATTTTAATTTATGTCGTTAATTTGTTTTAGTGAATTATTATTATTTAATGCTAATTCAATTCATGTTATTTCTACTATATAATAATTTTACTATGCAAAGCATAACAATTATAATTTTACTATTTATTATTAAATTATCATATTGAAAATTATTTTCCCCAATAAATTCTGTTTGCTAATTTTCGGGCCTTTGCTGTGTCCAAACTCGTGCTTATTTCAGCAACTCAGTTATGCCGATGAATTGGGCCCGTTAACTCAGCAAAAACTAACCACGGTTGGTGACCGTGAACGTTAAGTCAGTCAGTTTTCAATGCAGTCCTATTAAAAACGGTGGAATGACAGAAATGGACCCCACAATTGTCTTCTTTTGTCGGTTTGAGATTAATCATCACCTCCAATGGGGTATAGCAATTTCCTTTTCAAAAACACCTCTTTCCTGTACATAGTATACATACACACCTTTTATATTCCCAATACCATAGGGCTAATCTGACTTTGTAACCAGAAAAATATTTTTATTTTTAATTTATACTTTTAATATTATGAATTAATAATAATACGAACCTAATTCAGACCGTAATTTGGTTTGCCGTCATAAATTAAAACATTTTATTTTATTATTCTCATATAAGAAGATTATTTTATTTACCAAATATATGCGAATTTAAAAAAAAAATATGCGAATTCAATGACAATATTATAATAAGAACAAAAAATCTTTTTCAACCAATCTTTTTGCCCCTTATTCTTAGTGAACTAGAAAGATTCCTTTCAAAGTTGAATTTGTTCACTTAGAATCTTGGTTTTTTTTACTTCATTTTTATTTACTTATTTTTTTTAATTGAATATTTTTCCTCTCCTTTTTTATATCATTCCATGATGTGCAAGTGCTTCGTGCATGAGAAAGAGATATGATCACCATTGTAGGCTGTGATCAATTTGATGCTGATTTATGTATCAAAACTAAGGCTTTACTAATCAGATAAAAGTTAACTTTATCATGTATAACTCTATCATATATACCCAATTATACATAATTTTTTAAGTCTAGAGATTTTTGTTAGCAGCATAAATGTAGAGATAGATAGAGATTGTGAATGAGGTTAAATCTATTGTTCAACGCTCAAAACATGCGGTAAGGTGTTTTTTTTTTGACAAATAAAGAAAGGGGGTAGGGGCAAGGAAGAGCACCCCGTGACTACTTCGATAGGCCCTCACCACTAGGATCATAAGACCCCTAATCGCTCCTGAAACACCTCTCGGGATCAGACCTAATTTGACTACCATAGCGGCTAACCATCAAGCTTCAATGGGGACTCCAAGGCTCGAACTCTCAATCTCAAGGTGAGGAGTAAGATCGGTACCCTACTAGACTACCCTACTTGGTGGTTCGGTAAAGTGTTAGTTTCAGTCCTGACGTAGGTGCGATGTNCATGGGCCTTAATTATTTTAACAAAAAATTTGATTGAACTTAATTTTTTGGGACCTTTTTTAGGACTTAAAATTTTTTGTATTTATATTTTTTTGTGGGCTAGTAATATATTTAAAATTATTGGATATTCTAAAAAGGGGAAATTGGGAAGGAGTATACCAAATTAGACTTAATTGTAAAAAATTACACAAAAAAAAATGTTGGCTAATTAAATCCTTAATTTTAATACTTATTTGTATCTAAGTCCATTATTTAAATTTTATTAATTTTTTGTGACATTTTTGTCTTCCATTGATACATGTGTATTTTCTTTGAAGTAGTGCATTAAACATGTCCTAGTTTAATGAGAAAACTTTAATAGATTAAGTGTATGCTAAGTGCCTTTCGTATTTATTTTTTTTCT